AGTGCTTGGTAGTGTGTTATTGATTATTGCTTGAATAATTAGTCATAGTTGCTAACCCTGAAATGGCCCTTCAGTGTAGTAATAGTATTTTGTTTTTAGAGAGGTTGAAAAATCATTCATAGAATTCAGTGGTGTTTTCTGGACTTTTTTTTTTTTTTTTTTTTTAAGTACTAAAAAAAATCCTGAACTTATTTACACATTTTGAGGCTGTCTTGGAGATTTTGTTTCTAGAACAATCTCCTTTCCCCCCTCTCTTCTTTGTATTACCCTCTCCTTACAGTAAAGATTGTGTGTTTCTAACAAATGGCTTCCTTTGCAAAGAGACAGAATATATCAACCTTAATATTATGAATTTACCAAATGATAGGCATATACATTTTAGCACGAACATCCAATAAAAATAAATACATCTGCAGTGAACATGGTAAATTATATGCGAACTTACACTATAATAATAAACAGGAAACAGCAGCATCTGAGTCTGCAACTGGCTTCTCAGGAGGCTCTGTGCTTCCAGCTGTGGTAGCAGCTGTGGATCTGGCTCTTGAACTCTTGCTGAAACAAGCTGACAAAGGTCTGATTACAACATGGAGTTGAGTTTCTGCTTGGATTCATTTTCATTTTAACACTTTGGTTATGAAAAGTTTGTTCATTTACCCTGTTTGTGGTTTTGTATCCTACATTTCACAGTCATTGGGCTGGTGTGGTGATTATCACTGCTACTAGTCACCTTGATCTCAGAGATTTTATACTGTCTATAGCATTTGTGGAGCACAGCAATTTAGTTTTGGCTTATTGGAAGAAATTGAAAACTCTCTTCCTCTTCCTTATCCCTCCCCATCCCCAGAGGCTGTTCAGCATTTTTGTCCAAAATATTACACAGTAAATTTGTTGGGTTTTGTGTTTTAAATTGTTGTTATATGCATAGAAGGCAATTTAGGAGAAACTCAAACGATCCTCACCTGCAGTGAATTCTGAAAAAACATGCAAGAGACTGGGCAAGCTCTGCCTGGGGATGCAAGTAGGGATCTTTTTATCACTTTTTTTACTAAAGGAAGTAATTGGTCTCATAAAACCTGAGTGAGAAAAACAGCATCTACCTGTGTGTTCCTAAGGTGGCTTTGTAGGTAACTTCATGTATTGCAAGTTCTTCTTTCTGCTCCCAATTGCTTGAGTTCTTTTAGTGATAGCATGCTAAAGACACAGTTAAGCTACTAAAATGCCTGGCCTTCATTCAGCAAAGATTTAAGCACTTATTTAGAATTAAACACTTCCATTGCAAATTCTGCTTTGTGAACTCCCAGATATGTGCTTCTGCTCATATAGTGAGGAGTGTCTCTGGTGAATATCCTGAGACCAAGACAGTCTTTTTCATTACAAATTCCTCTTTTCTTTCAGTCTTGCCATCTTTTGTAGAAAACAGCTGTATTCTCTAACTTAAGTGAATCCCCAAATTAAATCCCAGTTGTCTCTATAACTTATTGCACAAACTCTTCCCTCTTTTTCCCTCTGCTTCTTTTCTTCACACAATGTCTTGCTTTTTCTCATGTGGAAAAATAGATACACTGTGCTCTTCCTTCTGTCATTCCCCTTCCGTAATCTTTTCTCCTTCTCCACTGGCGAGCAGCAGGAGTTTCTTGTCTAGTTTCCATCTGTACCCCTTCCACTTGCCCCAGTGACCCCATGTTCTGTTCTCCCTCTTATTTCATCCCTCCCTTATTCTCTTTCTTAACCTCTCGTTGTCCTCTGGCTCTTTTCCACTGCAATATAAGCAAGCATTTGCCTCTTAAAAATTGCACCTTTGACCCTACTTGGTTCTTCATATCATATCTCATTGCCTATCTCTCCTTCATTTCTAAGCTCATTGAAGGCGCTGTTTATAATTACTGTCTGGAGACCCTCTTCTGTGATTCTCTCCTGTAACTCCTACACTTTGGCTTCTGTTCCTTGCTTGCAACTGCAACAGCTCTCACCAAACTCCCTGATGACAGGATCTCAGAAACAGTAGTCTATCTCCATTCTTCTTGCCTTGTCAGTAGTGTTTGCTGCACTGGACCAGGCTCTTCTTTAAATGTGTGTCCTTTGTTGCTTCCTGTAGCTCGATCTTGTTAATTTTCTTCTTTCTAAGCAATTCTTTCTATGTTCTTCAAGGTTGTCTGCAATTTGAAAGGGTGTGGGTGGAGGTCTTAAGGCCCTTGCCTTGACTGGATTCTTTTTTTATGCCTTAGGGATTATTTCAAATACCGCAAAGAAAATGTAGCTACCAAATGTATCTGTAGATAACAGATAGGTTTTAATGTTAAGTTACCTCCTCTTCCTCGAGCTTATTAATTTGTGTATGTGTTTTCACGTGAGAGATTGTCTGTACTGCTGCTAGCTGCACCAGCCCTTGCAGGCATCTGTTCCAGCTTTTTCTATGGATTACTCAAATCATGTCTGTTTTCCAATGAGAACATAACAACTTGTCAAATGAAATTCATGTTTTATATTCTCTTCTAGAAATGCTTATCCTGATACATGCATTTCACTATTTTACGGTCTCAGGCATTTCATTCCTTTGTCATTGCTGCCTATTGAGTCTCATTTATGTTGATTCTGTCCTTTCTTCATAGAATCCCACTGCTTTTTTGGTAAGAACAATACCAAGAAATTTCATGTAACCACCACGTTTTTAATTGCAAGTCATTAAATGAGTGTTTTTGACAAAATTCTACCAAATCCTTAGTGTTTATCCTTGACAAACTGTACTAAAAACAATTATTTCATTTTCCTTAGATCTTTGCTCTCTATGGTAGGAATTCCTTTACCTGGCTAATTTTTCCCTAGTCCCTATTTTCTCCAGTCTAATATTGAATATAGGGTGCCCAGTTAGATTATATTTGCTGTATTTTCCTTGTTTAAAATTTCATTCTAGTTACAATGGTGGAAGCATGCAGAGAGTTCATAATCTCAAACAGATTTGTGCATTGTAGTAGGCAGATTCCTTAGGTCACGACATAATTTCATACCCCAGCAGGCCCAGCTGCATTATGTGAGCTCAGGCAAGTTTCTGCTTGTTGATGGGAACTACAGGGAGTAGTAGTTCCTTGTTCTGTAGGTACCTTTTGGCCTGTTTTTACTTCTGCTTGCCATATGCCATTCAGGATGCCACTTGTGCAACATTATAACTACAAAATGCAGGTCTTAGTGATCTAAGGTGCTAAGGTGCTAGTAACATGTAAATTATACATAATTAAAGTGAATGTGTAAATACGTACTGTATGTTTTGTATTTACTTTGTACTAGTTTTGCCTCACTTCACAATGAGTGCCGTGGTTGATATTGCAAATTCATTTCGTTAAAAGTCTGTGTGTTTGGTTTGGTTCTGACATTTGTCATGTTTGCTATCTTTTGAAAAACTCTTTGTATGCAGACAAGAAAGTTAAGGAAATTTTCTCCAGTTGTTTCTGAGTTACATGTTTCTGAAAAGCAGAGCAGTGCTTAACTGTTAAAATTAGCCACTGTTTTATATAGATAAGAAAATTTGGAATGTTAAAATTTAAATGGTGACAACTAAATTGAAGGATATTTATTAAAGTGTGTGGTTGAGGTTGAAAAACCTGGTTTTTATAATAATGTAAAGATAATTGAAATCATGCCTACTGGGCATTTGGGTTAAAATTACAAGTAGGATATAATTGGCCCAACCACTTTTGTGGAAATAAACTTTCTTTTCCATTTCTTTGTCAGGGCTAATCAAGGTTTTTTTAGGTTCAGGATCTGCTTCATTCTCACTGCAAGTTCTAATGTGCCATATATAAATGAAGGATGGAATATATTCCATGCATTAAAATGCCGACATTTTTTCACAATTAGTTTTTGCCTGTTTCTCATCCTGATTTCACATTCTATGAATCAGTTTCTCTGTCAACTGCAAAGAAAAAACATGTATTTTACCCTACGGATCTTGACTACATACAAACTGGCATCTTTTCAATCTAGTTTCGTTATACAGTGTATAATTTTGTGTTATATTCTTCAGTGCTGAGGGAAAGGAAATGACAGGGGATTGATGAAGGCTCTTGTTCTCCTATTAAGCAGTTGAGTAACCTCCCACTGGGGCTGAGGCTTTGCCTGTCTTTGAAGCTGTTGTAAATCCCTCTACAGCAGCACATACTTTGATTTTTGAATGGCTGTTTCTGGTTGGTTTAATCCTATTCTTAATCAATTTAAGATAAACAATTAGAAATAAAATTGAAATTTCATGGCTTTTAATTGTTATTGAGAAAAGGAAATTTAAACCCAATTCTACATTATCACAGCATTAAGACTGAACACTGAAGATTCATCTGTGGCTTTCAGTTTTTGTGCTTTGTGGAATAGACAGCTGCTGAGAGACACAGTCTGGTTACTCGATTTCTTCTTGTCCCAAGCAATGAAGCTGTAGTTCTCCTGGGGCACTGGGACAGAGATGCCAGCACAAAGGGCCAAAGCTATCCTATTCACTGCAGTTCCAACTACTGATGAAGTGGTGAGGTGGTTTTAAGTTGCTTATGTCCTTCTACTGCTCTCTGTGATCCAGGTAGCAGGCACAAGGAAGGAAGTGTTAGGATGCTTCCTCTGAATAGCTTGTGTGGGCCAGGCAAGGCAAAACTTGAGTGGACTCTTGTAACTTACAAAGGAAATACCAAGAAAAACTGAAGTTTCCTGCAGCAGAGTTAACTTGGCTGCATTGCCAGTGCTTTACAACTTGTAACATACATTGAGCATAAATAAAACTATAAAGTCTTTTTCTGTGATTTTAAAAAGAAATTTGGGAAACCTGCTATTTTCATCTAATGTAATTTTAACTTTTCATTGAGAACTTTATTCTACATTGACTAGCTTAATTGTTCAAAATTATATTTAAGCTTTTTTTTTTTTTTTTTTTTTTTTTAAATGTAGCATGGACAGTTACAGAAATGCATATATAGAACAGAACAGAACAGAAGCATCTTTGTGTGTTGTTCTTTTTACTGTAGGTATGTTTCTTGTGCATTGGGATGCCCATATGAAGGAGACATCACACCAGCTAAAGTGGCTGAAGTAAGAGTGAAATTATGGCTTTTCTTTTTAATGAAATTAATATATATTTGAAAATGTCTGTAAGTCATGTTATCTAATTAATCCTAAAAAAGATCTTCAATGAATAACAGGAGACACAAACACAAAATGCAGCTAATACTAAAAGTGGGTGCAAAACATCACTATTTTTTTCTACCATCTGTGGTCAAATCTAAGGAAAATTGTGTGTTTTGATTGTTTTCAGTCATGAGAAAATGTATAATGTACTATTTCCTTCAACAAGGAAACACTTAAAGAAGTAGATCCAAGCACATGTGTCAGTGTACCAAGTTGTATGAGATGATCCACTCTACGCTGGCGAGAGTATGTTCTTACAGTCAGTCAGCAGAGTCACAGGTAAAACTTTGTGTTTTGGCATGTGTCATACAAATCACATGACTGACACATGAAATCATGCCCAACATGATTTTCTACAACTTAACTCATGCTTCTGTGATAAAGTACAGCTCTCTCCACCGATTTTTTTCCATTTTGGATAAAGGACAATGAAGTCCGGCCTTTTCTTTGCTAGCAGAGCTAGCAGACAGAAAAAACTGGAGAGTAGAACACAAGTGTTACATTTTTCAGGAAGATGCAGAGTGCACTGAGGGTGACATGAATTTGAGCAGCACAAGGCAGAACGCAACTTTCCTCCTGGAGAAAGATTTGTCTTCTCTGTTACACTTAATCACCTATTTTTGATGATTTAGCAAAATCTGCAAAGCACTTCTTTTTTTGGTAGCACTAACAGCTAGTCAACATTAGTCTGATTTATTGTGTTCTCCTTGTGTGGCTTTCAGGTCCAATTCTCATGCATCTTCTTCTGGTGTACATTCCAGATGGAACTTGTGATAATTCTGCTCCCACAGCAGCCACATGATACTTGAACTCTTTGAAAAAATAGCTAAATTGGAAGGTACTCAGTATTTCTAAATTAATTGGTTTTAATATGAAGTGAAAATTAGAAGTGACGCAGCTTTACTTAGAGCGGTGATGACAGATTCAGCTGTGCTGTTGGTAAATTGCTTACTGCAATATCATGTTCCCCAACAGGCTTCCTTCCATGTGTTGCTTGTTTTCTTAAACTAGGTATTCTCCTTGTGCAGAAAAGCCCCTTTTCAGATTTACAGTGAGAGTGCTATCTAACATTCCAAACATGCGTATATTTACATACACAGCTATCTTATGTCTAAATCTTAGTATGTGACTTTTTGTGTACCTTTACACCATTGTGTATGAGTTTAAGAATGAAAGCTTCCTCATTAAAGTTACTAATTCAGGCCATGATTCAGCAAGCATTCATGTTTTTATAGAAATATCTGATTAGCTGTTAATGGATTTTATGTGAACATCTACACTCATTCTTTGCTGAACCAAAATGATCAAAATTACTGGCCCTGTTGCTCAACCTGTCAGAGATCTGCCTCTTGGGTCATCATCTTTTTTGGGATGGGAGCGTCTGATTGTGCACGGTAATCAACAGCTATGATTGAAAGGTCTATGCTATTTTGATGCTGTCATGAGAGAGCAGATTTTTTTTTTTTTTCAAACAGAAGCTTTAACTGAAGCAAAAGCAATTAGCAGAGAGAGGTGGATCATCAACCTACATGCATTTCAAGCTTACTCGGTCATAACTACTTTACAATTATTTACTGACTCCAAGCTTCATATGCATATAGAATACATCTGGTTCATGCATATAGTTCTTTATTTGAAAGTGAAAAAAAAACAAAACAAAACAAAGCATTTTTAATGTATTAAAATAAAACTAGATAATCTGTTTTATCAGTCTGCTTCTTGGAATAGTCTCTGATTAACTGTTTTCCATATAAATATTTATTAAGAATATTATTTATTCATATTGTTATTAACTATGGAGTAATTTCCATTCACTGATCAGACTACAGAAAATGTACTTAATCTTTTTTTAACATTGTTTTATATTATTGCAGTTTCTCTTGCATCACAAAGACTGCAGAGTGTTTTTTTGTTGTTACTCGCTTAAAAGTATTAGTAACTAGACTAAGAACTTTTTTATTAAATTTAGGAGTATAGTTTTAGATTTTCTTTGCAACAGTGGAATTATTCACATGCCTCTGGGGTTGCAGTGTTGGGTCACCAACTTCCATTTTGATCAGTGCTTGGTGTCAGGGCAGTACTCCCAGAGGGAGCAGCCCAAGGCTGATGCAGAGAAAAACTCTTCAGTAGTGCAGAACACAACTGTCCAATCAAAAACCTATAACACATTCTCAAAAATATATACCGAAAAGTTACAAAATTTTATAACTAATGAGCTGCCTCTTAGTATGGTAGATTAGAAAATTCAGCATGAAAAACTCATTCATTTCTTAAGCATGCACATTCTTCTTGAAACTAAACATGTTTCTCTTATGTCTCTAAGGCAATAATGAGCTCAGCTTGTTAGCAGAGTTTCCTATTTTCTTCTTTCAGGACTATATATTCAGGGAGCTGCAGACAGAAGAACTCAGCAAAGGACTGAAGGGAATCCAATAGGATTTCTAGCAGTTGATATACTCTCCTGGTCATCACTAAAATGCTCACCTATAAAATGAATCAAGCATGGAAAAGAATGTGAAAACAAACAAAACAAAAACTGATGTTTGGGGACTAACTGGGGGTAATTCCCCTCTAACTGCAGTTGATCCATTTTGTGTTAAAACAGCAGTCCAGTTTAAATGGATCCAGTTTATATGCAGTGTGTTGATGCAGTTAGAATTCATTTTTGCAATCTGGTGAATGTCCCTCCTTTTCTTAGGTATATATGGAATATATATTGATAAGACCAAAGGATTCTTCGACTGTAAAGCAGGAGTTTTATTACATTTGCAATGGTCGTAGCACTTACAGGCTTTAAGCAAGACAACTCAGACCACTTGAACTTCTTTTTCAGCTGTTCTTTGAATTAAGTGAACAATGATATTGATCCAGTTCTTCTGGGACTGCTAACGCAGCACTTTGTCAGCTTCCTCAGACATATTCACAGCAATCCTGCTGATGAAGTCTTGGAATTAACAGCTAAGAGCAGTGCAACCAAAGTTGTCTTGGAGAAGAGTCATGTTTTTTCGTTTCTAAACAGTTGATGTCCAGATCAGGATTCCTCTCCAATGGAGGGGCCTGTTGGGATCGCTGATGCACAGTGGGAAATGCTAAAGGAGGCAAACATACTCAGCACGTGTAAATCACTTGAAGCCTTTTCCAAATAGATTTGACAAAGTTAAAATAGGAAATTCCTACATTCAATTTCTAAAGCAATATATTTGGTGCAAACATAATTGCTGCTTTCTTGTGTATGTCTCTCCTCGTGCAAACTGATCTCATATTTACACAGTGAACTCAGCAAAGACATAATTCCTGAAACATTTAGGGCACTATTTCTGTAAGAACAGCAACAAGTATGGGGTTTTGTTTGTTACTAAAAGAAAAAAAAATAGGATTTAAACACTTGAATATTAATTGACTTACAGTTTTGCTTTTATTTGTATTTTAATGAATGGCTTCATGAAAAGCAAGCATCTTAAAACTTCAGTTTTCATTGATATTTTCAGTACCAAGACAAAGCCAAATCAAGCTGCTTAATTATTTACTGTCTTAACTAAGCCACATGCTTGGTTCTATGTAGTAAGCAAACAAAAAGGCAGATCTTTACCCTACACAGTTTGTAATCTGGAAAGTACATGGAGAAAAACAAACAGCTGGGAAGTGCCCAGAGAGAGGAAAATGCTGGGAAAGGGTTTGACAGAATCTTAGTTCACAATGTAAAGTCTATCTTATTTAGATTATGTGGGAGAGTCAGCAGTTGTTGATGGATTGCTTGGCTGGTTTTTCCATATGTAGAAACGGACCTATAAACTTGAAAAGGAGAGGATCTATGGGATGTTCTTCTTGAGGTGCAGTTTTGAAGAATGAATAGAGGTTTTCTTATATATAGGCCCACTCATTGTGACTAAAACTAAAACTGTAGAGAAGTACTCTTTTTAATGTATATTCTGGACCTTATTTTCACTCTTTCATCTTGATCTCTTGTTGTTTCTGTTTCTGATCAGGTGTCTAAACGTCTGTACAGTATGGGCTGTTATGAAATCTCTTTGGGGGACACAATTGGTGTGGGGACTCCTGGAAGTATGAAAAGAATGTTGGAAGCTGTTATGAAGGAAATCCCTCTGAATGCCCTTGCTGTTCACTGCCATGATACATATGGGCAGGCGCTAGCCAATATCCTCACAGCCATACAGGTAACATGGGTTCTTATTTTAAAGTCATGATAGAAATAATAGCTTAATTCAAGTAAAATTGTTTTTAAAAAATCTTACCTTTAAAGGAGAGGAGCCACTCATTAAACTTTCAGCAACTACTGTTCACTTTTCAAACTGTCTACAGGTATTGTAGAATCATAAATCCTTGGAGTTGGAAGGGACCTTTAAAGATCATGTCATCCAGCTCCTCTGCAAAAACCAGGGACATCCACAGCTAGATCACGTTTGTCATAGCCTGGTCCAGCCTCGCCTTGAATGTCTCCAGGGGCAGGGCTTCCACGACATCTCTATGCAGTGTATGTCAGTGACTTTAACAGTGACTCTCACTGTTTCCTTATATCCAACCTAAATTTGCCCCTCATTTGGTTTCAAACTATTTCCTCGTGTCCTATCACCGCAGACCCCACTAAAGAGTATGTCTCCTTCTTTTTTGTAGCTCCCCTTTAGATTCTGAAAGGCTGCTATCAGATCTCCCTGGAGCCATCTCTCCTCCAGGCTGAACAGCCCCAGCTGTCTCAGCCTGTCCTTGTAGGAGAGGTGTTCCATTCCTTGAATCATTTCCTTGGCCATCCTCTGGATGCGCTTCATCAGGCCCATGTCTTTCCTGTACTGAGGACTCCACATCTGGATGCAGTATTCCATGTGAGGCCTCACCAGTGCAGAGTAGATGGGCAAGATCACCTCCCTTGCATTGCTGGCCATGCTTCTTTTGATGCAGCGTAGGATATGGTTGGCTTCCTGGGCAGTGAGGGCACATTGCTGGCTCATGTCCAGCATGTCATGTCTGGACTGCCCTCACAGCCCAGAAAGCCAACCATATCCTGGGCTGTGTAAAAAGAAAATTACTGCTTTTGTTTTTGAAAAGCAAACAAACAAAAAACTACGGCTGTAAAAAAATTAGTACTATTTTTTTTTTTCAAGAAAATGTCAAAGCATTTTCTGCTACCTTGCATGAAATAGAAAGTTCTGAATTCTGATATTATCTTCAATTCCATACAAAAACACTAAGAAACATTGATGATGAATAAATTCCATTTATGTTGCATGAATGAGAGAGATAAAATACTTTTTATTCTGATGTCTCAGATTCCACTTTTTTTAGGAGCGTCTATACATTCATTATTCATTAAACTAAAATCTCTGTTTTACAGATACATCTAAATATAAAACAGAATAATGCATTATTACATATTGATTTCAGATTGATAAGCCTCAGTTATTGACAGTCATGTACACAGAATGGTATAGATAATTTTTTCACACTTTCAGTATGCTTTTATGTTTATGAATTTCATCTTTCAAGCAACTTTGCACCTTGTTCAATCTTATTTGAAATTCATAGGTAAGTTATCAGGAATACTTAATTTCCATAACAGTTTTTTGTTTTGTTTTGTTTTTAAATAATATAACAATACAAAAAATAGACTACAAATTCTAATGGAATTTTTGTAAGGATAGCATCTTAATGAAAAATACTTTCACAGGTACATGCATTCCTTAGGAGAGCCAGTATTGTTAAGTTTTATACTTAATGGCACTTTCTGCTTCCTTGCAGTTCTTGGTGTTACTTTTAAGGTCAACTTTTCTTTGTACTGTCTTTTTGTTTTGGCACTGCTCTTATTATTTTGTTTAGAAAATAACAGCATCTTATTAACAATGTTAGTGATAAAGGCAACAAGAAAGAACACAGAAGTGTTTCAGTCAGCATGAGAATCTCTGCAGGTATTTGATTAAATGCTGGATGACAAAATCTGATTTAAAAGGGTTCTAACATAGTATGTTATTATTATTATAGTATTCATTATAGACCCTGACTCACTTTTACTATTGCAAATATGTGTGTATGTGCCATGGGATAAATAAATTGCCAATTTCACAGTTAGCTTCAGTTGCAGATGTAATAGCTAAAGGCATGAAAACCCCTGAGCATGGGAGGAGTTTGCCATAAAAATGTTTGAAGGATTGTTTTCACATCCTTCCTTAAAATAATTGCTGTCATGGTGCCTAATAAACACTGAGCTATGGTTACGCTTTGTTAACCCTGGTATTAGTTGTGATACTCATTTTGTGTTTACATCATGTTGCTATCTTTTTATTTACATCTTAACTCTGGAAGAGTTAAATGGGGAAAAAAAATCTTAGGTTGCCAACCTGCAGTTCAGACTATTCAACAGGTAAATTCAAGAAAGCAATAGACCTCAAAAAAAAAATCCCTAGGCAGCCTTCTCTGATTCCTGGGAAGCCAGAGGTGCCTGAGCTTCCAACAGCAAACTTCCTTATGTGCTCAAGTTCTGCTACAGTGCATGCCTAAAGGTGCTTTGTTTTTGGCTGAACTGAGCTTGTCATAGATTTTGCCAAAATTTCTTGATGAAGCAGGCATTACACAGTCTCCCTGGCTGGATTTATGCAAGCAGCTCCTTGGCTTGGCCTGAAGGTAAGTCCCCAGACTCTTGGATACTCAAATGGGTCTGGAATGTCACAACACATCCTGCCTCTAGTGCTGGCTCTAAGTAATGGCTTTGTTTGAAGAGATGGGGCAGTTAGCAGTGAATTATAGCTATTCAATATTATTTCTAAAATAGGGCAACTGTTACTGGTCAGTTGGATTGTAAATGAAAAAGGTGGATTAGAATTCCAAGTCACTTTGTAGTCCCTGCTGCTGGGTTTGTCTCTGTTTTCCTCTCTGCCAAAGAAACATGAGTGGACAACTTAAAATACTGGAGCAAAACTGTTGTCTTCAATTCAGTAATTTGTTTCATAGACCAGATTCTCCATGGATGGAATTCCTTACCTTGCCTGCTTTATGAGTTTTTGTGACCAACACAATATTTCATCAGGAGTGAAATGTGATTGAGGGGTTATAGAAATAATGGGCTGCGGTTATTGCTTGAAAACAGTTTTCAAGAATATTCAGCAGGTAAATTACACTGTTCCTAAAGCAGTGCAGACTACAACCTTCAACTGAGTACTATTGCATTGTATATTGTGTTTCCTAAGAATTAATGACTGACAGCTGGAAAGCCACAAATCACTCTACACTAATTCAGGCATTACTTCGATGGGAGATCTCCTAGGAGTGGAGAGAGGTGCTAGTGATTCAGTAAGTGATTTTTTATACAGATCACATTGTTCCATGCAGGATTATACTACCCAGAATATTTTCTTTTGTTTGGGGCTGGTCCAAAGTCATCTAGAACTGACAGACCATATCTGTATAAGAAATTAGCAGGGAAGTAGCCTTGTAATTCTAGTATTCAGTTTTATGTGTGTTGTTTTAGCAAAAGGATAGGTAGTGAAAGATGGAAGAGAGATTAGCCAATATTTAGAGGATAAGTAATTTTTTAAGTTGGAGTGAATAATATAGGTAGAAAGCACTGCATTAAAGAAAAGAAAGGAGATTCACTTTTATGAAAAGAATCTGTGTAAAATGTGAAAAACATGAAGGGATGTTTCAGAACAAAACATTAAACAGATGACTGGCTCTTGGTTAGCTGCCTTAATATTAAAATACAGGAATACAGAATTAAATGAGGGGGCAGATTCGCAGGACAAGAAATGATGTGATGATTTAATTAGAAGTTGTGGTATGTTGAGTAAAATTGCATATGTGGGTTAGTTAATGCGACAAATACAAAATGGGGCTAAAAGAAGTAGTAAACCGTCCATAGAAAATTGTTACAGACCTCCAAAGAAGACTAAAAAGAATGGTCAGGAAACTTCTGTGCTGGAGAGGCCCCAAAAAGGTAGACCATCTATCTCAGGAGATTTGAGTTACCTTGATAATTGACTCCTGTAGCATTTATAGAATGAGTAAGAAAGGAGAAGTTTTTTAATGGAAATAGTACAAAACTCTGTTTTCTTTTAATAGTTTGTGTAGTTGCCAGAAATAGCTTTGACTGTTTTCATAGCACATACCTTAACATGAGAAAAGAATATGCTAACAGGTAAGTGGGAGTTTTGTCTTGCAGTGATACCTCAGTGAATTAAACAACTGCCTGGTAATCTCACAGAATTTTATCAAATTCAAATTGCTATCTTAATTCATTGATATGAACTGATCCCCACAATACTGGGATCAAGTCCTAATTTTGGGAAAGCGAGTGTGAAATTCTTATGACTTACAAGGAGCAAAGATTTTTGTCACTGTGTGTAATATTTCTACCTTACTAGAATACAAAATGAATGAATTTGACAATTATTGACACAAAAATGAAAATTATTTTTCATTAGTCCTTTCTTTTTCAAGCAAATAGGAACTTTGAAATGAAATGCACACTTTACTACCAGAAACACAATCTAGCAAGTCTATAATTAAGCTTTTGAGGCTCAAATTGAAAATTTCAGATTTGTGAATAGGGTGTTTCTCATTATAGAAATTATATGTCCCCTTATAGAGATGAAAAAAAAAAAAAAAAGGTAGTCTCTCATTAATATCTTTAATGTCCTTCAATTTTAAAAATTAATTTCTTTAAAAATGTCAACAGAACCAACAAAGTGGAGTGGTTGGCTACTGAACTCTTCCCTTCCTAAGTTGATTCTAGACCCCTTTTTACATGCTGAACAGATTAACCATTTTTGTGCTCAAGTTTACGTATGGAATAAGGGCTACATTCACACAAAGGCAGGCAGTGATAATATGGCTAAGTTTTAAGTTCCAGAACCAGGAGACGAATATGAACAAAGATACTGAAGGTCATGGTGTATTAATTCACAAGGATCATTATGTTACAGGAGCAGAGTTCAAAACAGCCAGCAGCCTGAAATGGGAGAGCCTTAGTTAGGCAACTGAAAAGGGGATTATGTTTTAAATTCCTTTTTGTCATGATTCTTATGAGCTTACATCTGAAGCCTTAGGTGAGATGAATTTTGCACCCCAAGCCATCTCCTAGATATAAGTGCCTGACTTGTTTGTTGATGTTTTTTGTTTTTTTTTTTCCAAACACAAGATTTGCTTTTCCTGACTGATTAGCTTGCCTATA